GCCGGGATCATCACCGAGTGTGGAAGATGCGGCCTGATACTTCCTTGCAGTCCACCAACAGGTTGGAAAAACAGAAATATCTGCACAGATCGTCGACAGTCCGCCGCGGGTCGAACCAAGGGTGAGCGTTTAGGCGAAGACAGAGGGAGAGAGTGCGGTAGACTCTGCGCGAGTCACCGCGCTTGCATTCAGCTAGCTGAGAGCATGTGGTGGACATAGTCTAAATCGACGGTCGATCTGTTATCTCCTTCACAATCGACCTCACTCAGTTTATTCGACCTAGGTTTGCTTATGTAATTATTTACCATTCTAGCAGCATGGGTACTAGCCGAAAAGCCAATAGGCACGTGTTTCTCCGTCATTCTCGCGCCGCTTGAGACGGCTGCAAGGAGTCCGGCCCATCAGTGGGTTCCCCAGCTATCCCTGTCTACTTTCTGGTTGATCTACCGGTTTTGAAAGTTCAGCTTTTTAATTTCCTGAGAAATTAATTTATGTTCTCGGCAGGTATCAGCATATTCAAGGTCTATAGGCATAGACCAATATTATAAGTGTATATTTGGGTTGAAACCCGTCAATCACTGCGAAATATGCACTTGCTGCCAACGGCCAGACTTTAGTTGATGTTGTTACTGACCATCTTAACAGCCTAGGTACTAGCTAAAAGGCTCAGACACGTGTTTCGCCGGTATTTTGCCGCTGCTTGAGACGGCTGCCAGGGGCCCGGCTAATCAGTGGGTCCCCTAGCACGCCCTGTGTGCTTTGTGGTGGATACTCAAGTTCTGAAATTTCAGCTTCTTAACTTACTCAGAAATTAATTTTTTTAAAATTTGGAGTAGTAAATCAGTATATTCAATGTCAGTAGATACATACCGAAATTGCATGTAAAAACTAGAACCGACGTCTAAGTTATAAAATAGGTGAAATTTAACAACTGGAGTATCCAAAATTATGCCCTTTACCCTCGTCAGTATGCCTGAAGACAAAATCTTCTTCCGAGTTCTACTTAATGGACTTTATTTGCACCAAGCGCGAAAACTTCTCTTCTTCTTCAGCCGATATGGGTTTCAGAAAGTCAGGTAACCAATGTAGGGGCAACTGTAGGAGAGAAAATACCAGGAAACGAGCATCAGACCGTACACCTCGCCTTTAAATATACCATGCAGCGAGACGGCCTTTGGCAAGTGAGAATCTGGTTGTCCCAAATAATTCATGCTGATAGTGTGTGTGTGTCGTAGCCTATAGTTGGATCAGGAATCCCCGTCAGAGTCCAAACTGGGAGTATTTGGGAGACGGAGAAAAGCCG